GGGGGGGGGGGGGGGGGGGGGGGGGGGGGGGGTGGGGGGGGGGAGGGCAGAGGGGGAGGTAAACATTTATAAAAGTTTTTTTTTCTAAAATTTTTCAATTAAAAAAAAAAGAAACTGCATGATTCTTATTGCAATTATTCTAAGGTGCTGTATGTGATCAATACATAGCCATAAGTCTGGCTTTTGTTAATTAAGCCTCTATTTCTGAGGTGCATTATTTGTTAAATTACCTTCATCTAGCATATCTTAATTTCATGTCAACTTCGAAGACTATGATCTAAATACATAAAACTAGTACTCTTTGGAAAAAGTCCGCCCTTACATTGCTTCACACATAATTTTAAAAAATCCCTAATAAATGATTAAATAATCTTTTACATCCTGCTCACATTGAAGTTATGTGCAACTGAACACTAGAAGTTTTAAAGAACACATGTTAACCAAACTTAGCCAAGAAATTACACCCTTTGACAACCATGTACCCAAAATTCCTTTTCTCAGAGCACCAATTTTATACCACTATTTGCTGCTGGAAAGACAGGTTTATCAGGAAAACTGAATGCCCTGGTTTTATTAACACCCTGCCTGCCAAGGTTTACTGAATAAACTCCAACTGACCGGGCTCATGCAGTGTGAACATTATACATTAACATGATAAGCCACAATGGCTATGTTTCAGAGGACAAGCTGAGCCCAAAACCACGTGATCGCTTATAGCCCAAGCATTTAAATCACTACCGTCATTTCAGCTGGGCAACCTGTAGTCCTCTCAAATGTTTACGAACTGCAATTCCCGGCATTCCTGCCGAGGAGTCGCTCTTATCTCTATCGCCATCGGGGCAAAAGGATAGCTTAAGCTCTCTCTCTCTCTCCTCCGGGCTCGCGATGCTGACACTGCTTGAGTTCCAGAATTCACGTGTCTTAAGTGTCCTCTGGAAGGAGACGTGCTTTTGCTGAGGAGCCGCTTGCAAGCGTTCAAGTGTTGCATTCCCCGGAGCGAAAGCAAAACGACTCCTTCTAATGCAGTGTTTCTCAACCTTGGCAACTTGAAGATGTCNTTGCCTTATTGAAGGCAGTAGATATGGTATTGCAAATAAATTCACTGGTAGAAAATTTTCTGTTCTCTAAAGCTTCACAATAACCGTGGAGTCATTTTGCTGAGCGATTGGGCTTCATTAATAAATCTGTCATACATTTGCAGCTACTTAAGCTAAAGTAAGAATCAATCTAAGAGCTTCCTTCCAAGTAAAATGGTTTTAAGATTAATGGGGCATCTTTTACAGCAAGAAGAACATTCTGTTCCTTGATATATTAGCTACAAATCGTTTGGGGAAAATATTTGGATTATACAGTTTTTAGTATAAAGGGTTACTTTCAAGCAGACTTTCTATAGTAAGAAGAAGCATAATGGATGTCTGGTAGCTCATTAAGTTTCATTATAGATAAAATTTTATTTAAAAATGCAAAGAATAAAATAAAAAAGGCAACTGTGGATGTGATGCTACAGTGAAAAGCCGTAATATCTATTCTTAAATCATATTCCTCAATATGGAGCCCTTTTAAATGTTTTCCTAATTCTATTTGAGCCAAGTTGGCAGCTCTCCAAAAGAGAGAGACTGATTTCACAGTCCAGCCCATGAAGCTAAACTTCACTCACATAGTTGGATTGCTTTAAATGTTATCCTAAGTACACAGGAGCTATTTGCTGGAAAATGGCTCCTGTGCATTGATAGTATCTTATCAACTCTGTCACATCTGAAATAAAAGATTCATCTTCCTTTTATTTGTGGACAAGAAAGTTGCTAAAATTATATGTCGTTATCATTGTCTGGAAAAAAACCAAGTTCTTAAACTATTTATGCTTTTACTTGCAACATTTTAAATGAAGTTAATGTGTTTACTTTCTATAACTGTTAGAGCAGTGATTCTGAGGTAACTTCTAGTGATGTAAACCTAAAAAATTATAAAACTTAGACCTATTTGTGAATCTTTTCCTGAAATCAGGAAGATCTGAATACTCAAAACGAATGCATTTTATTTCAAATATTAGGAATCTGCTATTCTGTGATCCTGAATGATTATGACAAAGTTATAATTTTATGTCACATGCATAAAATTATTGCTTCCAAAGGATATGTAGCTGATTTGAATAATACAGTTTTTAAAAGTCAACACACTTTCTGGGAAATAAGTTATTATGCAATATTATCTTTGTAGTCCAGTCTATGTTTAGCAGATGCGATAAATATAGACCAGTCAAACTTTAGCAAAAGCATAATGATCAAATGTAAGACTAATGAAAATGGACTTCTTTAGGATTAGACTTAACATTACTTACTTTCTTCCTGATTTGTTGTGGTATTAAAATATTGTAGTTACAAGTTCTTCCCTTTTTGTATCTGTTCAGATTGGGATGTACTATACATTAGGTTGCATTGATTATAAAATATATTTTGATCTTTAAGTTCATTTATTTTAATAGTTGGCTAGTAGGCCTTTTAAAATGTCATCAACAAGAGTTTTCTGGGTTGGGAAAAATGAGGAAGGGTATCTAACTGGCTAATGGAGGGTGATGAAAAATAGGTCCTCTTATTCATAGCCTGCCTCTTACTGTCACTTTTCCTGGGATGGCAGGCAAGGGGAAGGAGAGGTATTGTTTGTATAGAGAATGGTAGAAACCCCTCTTGCTACATAAGAATGGAATGGATCATGCCTCCTTGGCTGGTGGGGTGGGGGGACAATGGAAGGAAATCCGAGTGACCACACAAGTGTTTATTTGGAGCAGGTGCTGAGTTCTGTTTCAAATTATAGAGTCCCTGGCAATTTGCAAAGCATTGTGGGGACACAAATGCCTTAGATAGAGATCCAAGACAATGCTTTTTCTAATAAACGTCTGTCTTGCTTTCTTTAGGTTATGAGCTGCAATTCCGCCTGGGTCCTACTTTGCAAGGCAAGCATGTTACAGTGTCTACAAACTACCCAGCTCCTGGAGAATTGTTTGATCGCCACAAGTTCAGATGCTTAACGTGGCACAACCCAACAGGAAAAGAAGATGATTCTGACAAATATTGTAAATTAGAACTCCAGATTTCTGGATCATACCAATATTACTTCACTCATGAGTAAGCAAAATCTAAAAACTTGTGGAAGTATCATAAGCAGTTGTCTTCCCTGTGGGGACACGGAAACTAAACTTGTCTTGATATGCTTTTTGGGTATCTGTGGAACAGGCCATATACCAAAGGAATCTTCCTGTGTCAGGGAATCTTCAGCTTTGTCAGGTTCACCTAAGGAGATAAATGAAGAGAGCTCTCCATAAGACCCAGTCTATGCCTCTGACTGATTTACACAGTTCCCCACTCTTAGAAATTGACATTTTCATTCCAGTGAGATTACTACATGTATTTGCTTTGGCATACAGGCATTGCTTCACATATTTTTTTTTCCTTTATTTGTATGCCGCCCTTTTCCCTGGGGGGACTCAGGGCGGCTCACAATTCAAAAAGGGAGGG